CATTGATTGGATAGAGTCACTTAGGCGAAAAGTGAACCCGGCTTATGCGACCAAGTCTTTTTGGCAAACATGTGTGTTCATTGTTGGCATAAGAGGGAAAAAATTGACTAATTTTTAAGTTGCAATAAAAGGTTAGTTAAAATCAAAATTTTTGCGAAATATTTTCTGGTCTAAAATTATAATAAGAAATAAATAATTTATTCGAATGTATTAATACCAAAATATTGATGCTTTGGTGGCAGATTCCTCTTTTTGTAGTAAAAAGGTATGGCCTCATTTTCGCAAAATACTCGTGTTGTATAAGGAGACCTAGATTGTGCGTGAAATAAAGCTTTACTCAGTACACATGAAAAAAATGAGATAAGGAAAAGTAGTGTCAAGACAGTATTTCAATCAGCAATATAATCCATGCTTTTGTAGTATTCTTGATGAGGCAACATGATCAAACGCCCAAAACAAACAATGGGAAATAAGGATATGAAGACCAAGATGCTGTGGCCTCTGGTATGGTCAGGGACTATGAAAGAACAGTATGGACGATAAAGGATTCGCAAAAGTGGATATGCCTACCCACCTGCGAACTAACTCAAAAACTACGGCCAATATTGAGAAAATTGAATATTCAGTTGGCCATGAAAGAGAAATCAATACTTTTCACAAGTCAATCGACGCACCATGAAAGGGTAGCTAAATTGGATCGTTCATGAGTTTACTATATATCGTGCGGCGCGTGTAAACAGAAATATATTGGCGAAACAGAGAAAAATTAGCATACGAATCAAGGAACATCAAAGGCTTTGCAGAAAAATGGATACCAAAAGATCAGGATTAGCGGAGCACATCGCACAGACTGGACACGAGATCATTTGGAAGACAACAGAAAAAAGGGCCCCATACGGTGACAACACACGAAAGTGGAGGATTAGTGAGGCCAGTGACATGCTTGGGGAGAAAATCTAATGAACAGGAAATTGGAGGAAGGCGAAGTTAGCGATAACTTTGCCTACTGCTTAAGCAAACTCGGGTAAAACAAGAATAAAGCAAGACCAGCAAGCAGGAGACGCCTGAATCAAGGATATATCGCTAACCGGAGGGAAAGGGATCGCGATGATAACAGGGGGATGCTGCAGACTTTCGCAATTAGGCGAAGACACTGTCGGTGAGTTATGTCTTTTCGAAGAAGCCAGTACAACTTTGGCTTCCTGGCAGTCAGGGAGCTGGGCAGACGGATGAGCAAACCGTCACAGAAATTCGGCGTTATGGCCAAAATGTACTAGAAATTCACTTGATGCCACATGTGACCAGAGTTAGACGTCCACAGTTTGCTCAGGTAACATGGGTTTAATCAAGGAGACGACCCGAAAATGGAATGCTCTATATCTGCAAGCATGGGAATCAGAACACTAGATCAGGCCACACTAGATTTGCCACAAAATGGCACCCATTTTGACGAGTGGAATATAAACAAGTGAGAAGTTGTGATATGGTC